AAAAAAAAAAAAAAAAAAAAAAAAAAAAAAAAAAAACAAACACCCGAGGTCTAAATGATCTATTCTAACATGTTTAGATTTCAGGTCTACAAATGGGTAGATTTGGACCCATGCATGTGTTGTCACCATTCCAGACCAAATGCATGACCATCCCCCCAGAAACTCACCAACACCTCTTCCTGTTCAATCCCTACCTGCTCTACCACCACCACCCCCTTCCAGGCAACCACCCCAGCCTGGCTTTGCCCCTCGGAGAACTTCCTATCACCATCCACGACGCTGTTTACATTTCTGGTCCTCTCAATCCAGTGGCTTGTAAATGGGATCCTGTCGTCTGTCATTGCTCCTCACTGTTTCACAGCGGATAGCAGAGCCATTTGTTTTCTGCTTTGCCTGTTGACAGTCACATGTGTTTCTAGTTTTTGGCTGCGATACCCAGAGTCACTGTGAACATTCTTGCTCATGTCTTCTTGGACATATGTTTCCATTTATTTTGGGTAAATATGTGGGAGTGAGAATCCTGGATCATAGGGTACTTGTATGTTTAACTTCAGCAGAAGCTGCCAAACTGTCTTCCCGGGCAGGCAGACAATCTGGCCAACTGATTTCAACAACCTGTCTCATCAGCCAGACTGAGCCACCAACTGCCCTCCTTCCAGAGACTACTCAACTAGTCAGTGGGCTCCTGGAGACTGGCTCAGAAGTCATGCAGATGCTGGCCAGAGGCAGATGAGAGATGTGCAAAGATGCCACATGACTTGCCACCCAGCCTCTTCCCAGCTCCCCCTACAGACCTTCCAGGGCCTGTATGCAGAGAAATTCTGAGATGTCCCAAATGTCTTTATGAAAACTGGAGTGCAGAGTAGGACAGAAAGGAAGGTCATTAGTAACTGTTGAGGAAGCCTTGGAAGTGGGTCAGTGGGCCACCACTGAATAACCTTTCCAATGGCTAACACCCTGGAGACAGAAGTGACAGCTTCCTTTTTTTCTTAAGTAATTTATTTTTGTTTTATGTGCATTGGTGTTTTGCTGGCATGTATGTCTCTGTGAAGGTGTTGGATGCCCTACAACTGGAGTTACAGACAGTTGTCATCTGCTATGTGGGTGTTGGGAATTGAACCCAGGTCCTCTGGAAGAATGACCCATGCCCTTAACCACTGAGCCATCTCTCCAGCCCAACTGTTTTCTTATGGTCAGACCTCAATCCCAAGGTTTTCCCTGTCTTGTATTTCCTGTTCTTCATCTATAGTCAGTGCAGGTTCAGTGTCAACTGCTACAGTTTCCCAAAGTTGAAGAAAACCATCTTTAATGCAAAAGGATGTAGAGGCCAAGTTCACACACAGCACTGACTCTTCATACAGGCCTGCAAACATCCAATGGCAAGTAGAAGTGGGATGAAAACCCTGACCTCCCAAACAGGGGATGCCATTCCATTGGTAGAATGCTTGCTGAACCTGCACAAAAACCCCTGCTCCCATCTCCAGCACTGTGAAAATGAAGTGTGGCGGGCAGGCTCACGCCTGTAATCACAACATGGGGGAAGCAGAAGCTAAAGAATCAGAAGTTCCATGTCATTGCTGGCTACAAAGCCCTCCCAAGATACCTGAGACCCCAGCTTTGAAAAACAAAAACGCAAAACAAACAAAACAAAACAAACAAACAAAAAAACAAGAGAATGGACTCCCAGAGGTTGTGTTCTGGCCTCAGGGTGCACACTATAGCATGTATATCAAGTACACACAGACAGATACACACATGAGAGACAGAGACAGATAGACAGACAGACAGACAGACACACACACACACACACACACACGACAGAGGGAGAGACAGACAGACAGACAGACAGACAGACAGAGAGAGAGAGAGAGGCAGAGAGAGACAGAGAGAGACAGAGAGAGACAGAGAGAATAAATTTCTAACTCCATCTTGCATCTGTCTCAAGTCCCTCTGTTTTGCAGTCCCCTGGGGCTGACTACATGGTCATTGTGTTGTCACATCTAAACCACACCTTAAGATTACACAACCACAGGTAACCGGTGCCAGTCAGGGCTGGGCTGCCGTGGATTGTCTTTTCTACATCTGACAGGATAGAGAACTCTACAACCTGGGTGCTCCCGGCTGCTTTCCAGTCCCTCACCTGAAGCAGACCAACTAGTTCGAAGTGAGAATGGCCCCAGGACCTCCAAACTTGTGACCCATGTCTTACTTGAAGGCACCCTGGGGATTTGTCCCCTCAGTCTTTACTGAACCCACAGCCTCAAGACAAAAAGACCTTGTCTCTTTTTCTGTCCTTTTCTCTCCTTTCCTTATTTTTTACCGGGATTTTGTTTGTTGTTTTGATTTTTTGTTAGTTTTTTGTTTGTTTGTTTTGTTTTCAAGACAGGGTTTCTCTGTATTGCTTTGGAGGCTGTCCTGGAACTCACTCTGTAGACCAGGCTGGCCTCGAACTCACAGAAGTCTACCAGCCTTTGCCTCCTGAGTGCTGGGATTAAAGGCGTGTGTCACCACTGCCAGCTCCCTCTTTCCTTCTTAAAGCAGCATTGTGCTATGTCTTTTCAGTAGCGCTCGCGCGCGCGCGCGCACACACACACACACACACACACACACACACACACACACACACACACATGACATAGTGTTTTCACAGCCTCTTCACTATCCAGAAACTACCTATGTGGTTCAAAGCAGCTCTCCTGGGAGGAAGCTGAGGGCAGGATCTACTCTCAGTGGTGAAGGGGAACAAAGAGGAATGAAAGAAGACAGCAATGGGATGCATTGCCAGCCCGCAGCAGTTCTAGACAATCGGAACTCCTGATGACATATGGCGTAGCTTAGATGGTGACAGACTGTCCTCTTGAGGTCTCCCTGGCCTCTAGCTGTCAGAGAACCTTAATGGACATTGCTTGTTCCCAACCAAGCCAGAGACCCTTGTGTCTCTAAGAACCTGCTATGGGCAAGCCGGTGTAAGCCCACCTCTTCCCCCAGCCTCTATAGAAGGGGAGATGGCCCTGGATCCTCCCAATGAGACAGTTTGTGACTGCTTAGCTGATGCTCAAGTCATCTCAATCACTTTGGGGTTCCTGGGGGTCCCTATATCAAAATGCAAGAGGCTGTTACCACGTATAACATTGTGAGAGCAATGAGATAAACTGGACTTTTTTTGTTTGGTTTGGGGTTTTTTTTTCTCCTCCTTTTTTTAATTTAAATTAGAAACAAGATAATTTTAGATGTCAATCCCAGTTCCCTCTCCCTCCCTTTCTCCCCTGCCCCCTACTAACACCCTACCTATCCCATACCATTTCTGCTCCCCAGGGAGAGTGAGGTCTTCCATGGGGGGGGGGCTTCAGAGTCTGTCATATCCTTTGAGATAGGGCCTAGGCCCTCCCCCGTGTGTCTAGGCTGAGGGAGTATCCCTCTATGTGAAATGGGCTCCCAAGTCCATTCCTATATTAGGGATAAGTACTGATCTACTACAAGAGGTCCCATAAATTTCCGAGGCCTCCTCACGGACACCCACATTCATGGGGTCTGGATCAGTTCCATGCTGGTTTCCCAGTGATGAGTCTGGGGGCCAAGAGCTCCAGTATAGGTTTAAAGAGAAATGAGGCACTAGGGAAATATCCAGAGATCTACAAGGATGACACCAACTAACCACCTAAGCAACAGTGGAGAGGCTACCTTAAATGCACTCCCTTGATAATGAGATTGATGACTGATTTATATGCCATCCTAGAGCCTTCATCCAGCAGCTGATGGAAGTAGAAGCAGACACCAACAGCTAAATAGTGAACTGGACTGGAATCCAGTTGCAGAGAAGGAGGAGTGATGAGCAAAGTGGACAAGACCAGGCAGGAGAAACTCACAGAAACAGCTGACCTAATAAGCTGGACTTTACATAAACTTTGGCTCCTGTGCATGTGTGTGTGTGTGTGTGTGAGAGAGAGAGAGAGAGAGAGAGAGAGAGAGAGAGAGAGAGAGAGAGAATGTGTACATGTGGTCACTTGCCTTGTGGATACACATGGATGCAGGGGTTGACAGCAGGATGTCTACCTCAATTGCCTCTCCACCGTTTTTTTTTTTTTTTACAGCCTATGTTGCTGTCTTCCACTTCTGTTGATCCAAACTCAGGTCCTCAAGCTTGCACAGCACTGCCCACTGAGTAAACCCTCTGGACCCTTTCAGTCTTTAATGTGGTGTTCATGGTAACCCCAGGAGGTAGTCAGGGTTACCCCACTTTATAGACAGGCCAATATAAATGGAAGATCTAGACAGAAAGTCTAAGCCAGGATTGGAGTCCAGAGAGCCTTCATCTCAAAGGGCAGGCTCTTGGTGCTGCCGTAGGCTAACCAGAGCAGCTTTTGGGAAAAGACTACAAGGGATGGTTGGTCCTAGGCCTCTTCTCCAGACTAGAAGGCCCTCGGGTACCCTCCAGTGCTTTATGGGAGCATCTTTAGAAAGAAGATGTGATGTAGTAGGACCTGCCATCTCCCATCCACTCCTTGTATCCTTAACCAGCAACCCCCACCCCTCATCCTGGACCCACAAGCAGACACTACAGCACAGCTGGAGCTGTGAGAAGATGCAGATTTATTTTTGGCACAGACTTGGCATCCTGAACCCATCCCATACCATACATACCTCCTAAAACAATCTTGATAGCTTTGACAGTCACAAGCTTGTCCCCAGGGTTGGACAAAACCCATAGTAGAGCAATGATCTCAGAGCCAAGGCCTGGGTCCTGTCACCCTGAGTAACCTCCACCCACCCATCCCTATTCTCTAGAGTCCAGGAAAACCCAACCAGAGGCAAAGTCCTGCCCACACTGGCTAGTACAGGAACATCCGCAGGCTCCTCTCTGTAGAAAAGTGATTCCAGCCAAGTCACCAAGCCCCAGCAGTGCAGGGGACAGCCAGCGTGACACTCAAAGAGAAGATGCTCATGGACTGAGAGGAAAAGGAAGCTGACCCCCCAATGTCCATGTTCAAGACTGTTCTAAGAGGAGGCCCAGCTTCTATGCAAGTCCAAGAGGTCCAAAGAAATGAAGTCAGAGTGAGTCAGCAGTTTTCTCCAACTCAGCTTGGGGGGCCTGGAAACTATTTCCTTCCATCCTCCTGGGAATAGGGGACCACAAGTCCTGGGCTGCCATGCTGCACCCAGCAAGTCCAAGGGCCCAAACACGCAGTGTGGTGCAAATGTCTGTAAGTGAGGTGCATGCAAGTAAATCTTCTGCCAAGCACAATTCGGTACTGCACAGGCTGCCCCCAGCTGGAGTCCAGGCTGACTCCTGTCTTCCTGGATAGTGCTTGTCTCCAGCCTCTCTCCGCCAGAGAATATGCGCCAGGGATGTAGGCCTTGACTTCCACAGGCGTCCACACCATGCCCCTCTGATCCCCACTCATAATACATCACCATGCTCCTCTAAGCCAATACATCACAGTAGCTGTAGCTCTCAGGCCTAGGGCTCCTACACAATGACCCCAGGACACATCAGTGACCCCAGATGAACTCCAGCCTTAGGCCCAGGCTCACTCAAAATCAGGGGCCATCACCAACATGCCTTGCCTTCTTCCCACCCCACCGCAGACTCCTGAAGGTGACTTCTTGGCCAAAGGCTCAGATGCTCAGGTCTCCCCTGCTGCTGGTCCTAGGGGATGCCAACTGAACTGGTGGGAGAATGCAGAGCATTGCCCGATGATATACTCAACTGGGATTCTCATTTCCTTCACTGCCCTCCGGAACTCTCTAAACTCTGGAGCAACATGGACTGGGGAGGACTGCACTACCCCAGCGTCTTCACACCTTCACTACCCAAGGGACTTCTGTGCCCCTCATCTTCCTGGGTGGCCTCAAGCCATCAACCAGAGCACTAGATTGGTGGTTGCACATAGAGGAAGAGATTTGTATTAATATCTTTCTAGGGTGACATCTCTCGAAACAAACAAAATCCCAGGGAACGCTGGCAGGGCAAGGCGAGGCAGGGCTGAGGACAGATGCAGGAGCAGGTCAAGGGGGTAGGGACGACCAGAACTCTTCTTCTCTCAGGGTGTCCTTTGTGCTGGAGGGTACCTAAACATTCTCCTCAGGCACCCCAGCGCCCAGGGCTCACGGGAAGGCCACCCATGGAGTGGGTCGAGCAAGGCTTCAGGTCCACGGTCCAGTCCTCCTGGGACACCTGCTTGGCATTGCAGAAAGACAGGTCCTGGCATCCTCAGTGGAACCCCTGGCTCTGAAGAGAAACAATACCAGTCAGCAGAGGGAGATGGCACCCAAGGCTGAGCCACAAGCTAGGCAGGGATCAGGCCTCTACTTTGCAAGGGAATCAGAGACAGGTCACCCCTACCTTTCCCTGCTGGCCCACTGATCCCATCCCTTCCCTGCTGTCTTCGGGGTCACTTCTCCTGGTCTTTGGACCCCAGAGTTATCAGTGCCTGAAGAAAGATTTCCCAGGTGTCCAATGACTCACAGAACCTCCAGAGCTCAGCACTAGACAGACCCAGAGCTATAGCCGCAAGGGTAACACTGCCAGTGGATATTACACAGTGACAGAACAAGGACTTCCTCTCTTCTGGGGCTGTCTAGAAATTTCCAGGCCACACTAAGCCAGGATCAAAGCAGGAGGTCTTTGGGAGATCAGGGCAAGATGCAGTATGGCAAAGCTCTAGACTAGGGCTGTTATGTTTGTTTCAGCAGGAGGAAGACCACACAGTAAGGGCCTCTGTCCTTTAGCCTAAGCCTAAATTCTACCATAGGGAGAAAACAGAACCAACTAAGGGCATGTGGAGGGGCAGATAACTAAAGGGGGTGTGGCAAAGTGGAGCACATAAATGTGGGGGGTGCAAGGTGTACACCTGGACACTAAGGGATGGGCTTTACCTAGCCATGAGATCATGCCCAGTATCAAGTACCAAGCCCCACCACCCTGACTCGCAGGCTTCAATCTCTGGCCATACCTGGTAGATGAGGGTCAAGTTAGGAGGTGAACAAATAGGATAGCCAGACCAATGTTCAGCAGGATGACCATACAGATGAGGACAGTGTTGGGTACCTGAAGGCATGAAGAAAGGCTTCCTAAGTCCCCAGGACCTCTAGACACTCCCACATCCCTAGCCAGGTTACAATGCTGGGCAGAGAAGCAGGAACTTCTGGAAGGATCTTTATCCTGGTTTGTTCACAGTTGGCCCCTGCACCCTGATTTGCATCAGACCATGAGAGCTGGGAGAGTTCTTGGAGCTAATTAACCCAGTGCTTCAGGGCCTCGAAAGGACATCTGGCAAGCCACACGGAGGGCAGTCTGGAACCCCCACCAATCACCTTCCCAACTGTTAGCTTTGCTCTCTGCTGCTGTATTTGGTTCCTGGACTCCAACAGAGGCCCAGAACTCAAGCCCTGTTGGGATCTTCCTCCACCCCCAGGAAGGCCTCCCTGCTGTGTCCTGAACAGAGAGGTGGCTGGTACCCTGGCCAAATGCCACACGCTGGATAGATGCACTCTCTTGCTCAATCTTCCACCTGCCCCTGCCCCTCTCTCTGTCTCGCTGATGTTGGCCCCGACCAGTTCTGCCTCCAGTCTCCCAAGACACCTTTCACTACGCGCGCACACACACACACACACACTCGCACACCCATCTGGAGCCCCAGGGATCTCAGAGGCTGGCCTCTGTCCTCATCCTCACCTCCTCCCCCTCCACCTCGGCCTCTGCCGCCAGTGCCACCTCCTTACGACCCTTCTTCTTGACCTTGCTCAACCCTCTGGCCTCGGTTTTGCGCGCCTTGGCCTTGGGCTCGGCTTTGGGAACGATGGGCTTGGGCTCCAGAGTGGCGGGCGTGGCGGGCACCAGACTTCGCGGTGCCGAGGGCTGTTCCTCTGGGGCGGTGGCAGAAGAGGGGGACGGGGGCGCGGAGTTGGATCCGGAGGCCTCCGGCTCAGGCTCGTCCTCCAAGGGCGGCGGCTCCGGAGGGCCGGTGCGCACCGCGTAGCTGTGGTAGCCACGGTACATCGCCACCTCTGGCTCGCGCGATGGCGCCGGCGGCGCAGGCCGTCCTTGGACGCTGCGGGTCGGGGCCTCTTGGGTTGTGGGGGCGTCCCAGCCGGAGACGGGGGTCCTCCCTCGGGCTGTGGGGTCTCGCGCTCGTGCAGCTGCGGGCTCTCCCGGGGCCGTTCGGGGAGGCCGGCGCCTGCACCCCGCTCCGGGGTGTCCAGCAGGCTCTCCGAGTTCTCCAGGATCTCCTGGAGCAACCGACGCTTCTGATACTCAGGACCTGCCAGAGACAACAGAAAGAGGTAGGCTTCGAACCCACCCATGGCTTGCTGGGCCGTCCTGGGCCAGACAGGTAACCCCTGTGAGCCCCGTTCGTTTACTAGGCCACCACTCACTGCACCGAGGATCAGGTTGCGGTGGAAGCAGTCGATTTTAATAACTGTGAGGTAGGTGAGTGAGATTGTGAACTCTGTCGCACAGAGGAAAAGGAGACCAGGAGACGTTAAGTCATTTGCCTAGCATTACACAGCAAAAGGCCACGATGATGCGATTAACTTGTCTCTTTCCACCCGTTTGTCTGAAAAAGTTTACTTGGGAAAGTGACTTGCAATGACTACTGTGCTTCCTGTAACCAGCAGGGGGAGAACTGTGACCAGAAAGAAGTCGCAGCCCTTGCATCACAGACAGATGAAGTGTCACTCTGGATGGCACTTTGGATGGTGAGCTGCAGCCAGAATGATGTTTCCAATACACTAAACGTGTTGCTCACGTAAAACCCCTTCGATGCGGGGGTCCCCTTCCCAAGTCTCTTCATTCAGCCTCACGCTCGTTACCTGTTGTACCATCTAGCTTCCTGCGTGCCACTCTGTTTCATTTCTGTACCTTTGAACCTGCAGCCCCTCTTCTTGAGATCCATCTGCCCCAGGTCTACCTGTCAGTGCAGGTTCTCAAAGGGTGGCTCTAGATGCTCCATCATTAGGCGTGTCACTTACTGGCTCCACCCAGACCCACTAAATTAGGAACTCAAGAATGAGCCCCAGTGGCAAGTCAGACCCACAGACCTGGCCAGAGCCCAAAGTCCTGGTCTGACCACTCAGTTAGAACTCATTCTCTATGTGAGATGCAGTGGACAGGAACCTCGGCCTCTGCAAGCTCACTGTAGCCTTTACATGCGCTGAGTTCACGCCCAGAAAGTAGGCACTATTCTTATACCCATGTCATAGTTCAGGACCTGAGTGCCACCATTCACCTTGTACAACCTGGTGAAGTGCAGGCAAGGATTTAAACGTAAGAGTCTGTGTTAACCAATGCAAAGCTGCCTGTGTGACTCTTTCTGATTCTGGGTCCTAGCTGCATGTCCCCAGAGCCCAACATGTTGCCTGACACACAGGCAGTGCCTGATCAATGCCCTACTGTAGTGGAATATTTGTTTAACTATGTAATGACTATGTAACTATGCATTTGTTTAAGTATATAAAGATGTGTATTTTACCTTGCCTGCCTAAGGCACCTGATTGGTCTAATAAAAAGCCAATAGCAAGGGAGGAGGTATAGGAAGGACTTTTGGGTATGGAGAGTAAGTAGGAGGAGGAATTTAGGATTGAAAAAAGAAGAAAGAAAGGAGATGCCAAGGAGACGCCAGCCAGACATGGAGAAAGCAGGAAAGTAGGAAATACAGAATGAAAGAAAGGAAAGAGCCCTAAGGCAAAACGTAGATGAACAGAAACAGGTTAAATTAAGTTAAAAGAGCTAGTAGGACAAGCCTAAGCTAAGGCTGAGCATTCATAACTAATAATAAGTTTCCGTGTCTTTATTTGGGAGCTAGTTGGCTGCCCAAATAAAATTCCAACCACACCCCACAAATTCTTAAAAGGTACAGAGAGCCCTTTGACTGCCCCCATGCACCAGAGACTTGTTCATCTCAGCATCACCAGCTCCCCTCATCTGTCTTGCAGAAAGGGGGGATAAGAGACAACTGGGGTGGATCCCACCCACAGCTGGGAACCTCAGCTTCTCACCCAGTCTTGCACAGAGGTAGAGGTGTGCACACCCATGAATCCCTTATCTCCTGTTTGTACCACACCCACAAAACTCGTAGGCATTTAGAGCCCCACTTAGGCATCTCCACCTTGTAGCAAGTGAGGAAAAGCATCCACCCTGAGACTCTCCTGCCCACTCCACCCGCGGCTGGCCCTACCTGGCTGGTAGAAGTCTGGGGCCAGCTCCTTGGCCAATGTGCGGGCAATGTTGGATTCGTGGTTGGCAGCCAGGGCAGCCTGTTCCGCTGCTTCAGCCTTGGCTTTGGCATGGCTTGTCCTAAGGAGACAATATGGTGGGAGATTTAGAATCTAGCCCTCTGCCCATCCCCTCTAAGACACAGCAAGATAGCCTGGACAGGCGTTCTCTCTTGGGATGTCAATAAGTATTACAGCCCCCTGGCCCAGACAACTGGGCATTCCCTAACCCAGTCCTCCAGTTTCTAGGTATACATAGACTGTATTCCCCAGTCTCCCTTATAGTTAGGTATGGTGAGATGACTGCATTCTTCTAGTGCATTCTGGGAAGACCTGATGTATGTTATTTCCAGGTCTAATCAATAAAGTCCTTTCCCCTGTGGCTGGCTGAATACGGAAGAGGCTATCACCCCAGAACAGGGCATTTGGCCTCTTTCGTGTCATATATCCTCTCTTCTGCCTTTGGCTAACTGATGAAACCTGTGGACTCCTTTTCCAGACAACGTTTTGTTTTGTTATTGAGACAGGGTCTCACCATGTAGCTCTGGGTGGCCTGCAGTTTGCTGTGTAAACCAGGCTGGCCTTGAACACCCAGAGATCTGACTGCCTCTGCCTCTCAAGTGTTGAAATTAAAAACATGTACCATCACATCTGGCAGAACAATATTTGTAATTACACAAAACAAGATACAGGTAAGGTACTTGATAAGCAAGCCTGGACTAGAGTCCAGTCTTGTGAATCCATGTAAAGGAGGAAGAAGAAAAACAACCCCAAAGAGTTGTCCTGTGACAGCCATGCAAATAAATGCACAATAACAATAATAATATCAACAAGGTTTTTATTCATTTTATTAAAATTAAAAAGAATCTTATTTCACATACTAATCCCAATTCTCTCTCCCTCCCTTCCTCCCACTCTCCCCACCGTCTCCCCATCCCACCCCTCATCCACTCCTCAGAGAGGGTGAGGTCTCCTATGGGGGATCATCAAAGTCTGTCACATCATTTGGGGCAGGACCAAAGCCCTCCCCTCTGTATCTAATCTGAAAGAGTACCCCTCCATAGTGAATGGGCTCCAAAAACCCAATTCCTGCACTAAGGATAAATGCTGGTTCTACTGCCAGAGGCCCCATAGACTGCCCAGGCCCCAACTGACACCCACGTTCAGGTGGTCTGGGTCGGTCCTATGATGGTTCCCCAGCTGTCTGGCTGGGGTCCATGAGCCCCCAGCTTGCTCAGGACAGCTGTTTCTGTGGGTTTCCCTGGCATGGTCTTGACCTGTTTGCTCATTACTCCTCCCTGTCTACAACTGGATTCCAGGAGTTTCGGCTCAGTGCTTAGCTGTGAATCTCTGCTTCTGCTTCCATCAGCTACTGGGTGAAGGCTCTAACAAGGTTTTAAAATATGCAAAGTATATGGGGTTGTGGAGAGCTACCACTGAATTGATGCAGTTAATAAAATATTTAAAAGAACAAATCTGTGGGGCTGGAGTGATGACTCAGTGGCCAACGGCAAATATAGCTCTTCCAGGCGACCCACGTTCCGTTCCTAGTACCTACATTAGGTGGCTCACAACTAATAGTAACTCTGGCTTCAAGAGATCCAACATCCTCTTTGGACTGTTGAGCACCTGTATTGATATGCATGCACCCATGTACAGACGCACAATGAACAATAAATAAAAGAACAAATTTATAATATGATAACGCATATCCTTTTTCATCAACACTAAAAATATCTGGCAGGTCTACTAATCACCACAGTTTAGAAGTATAAATGAGCATAGCTAGATGTGGTGGCTCTCATCTATAATCCTAGCACTTGTGTCACAAAAAAAAAAAAAAAAAAAAAAACCAACTTGTGATTTCTGTTAGAGACAAAGTCACAGGTACAGCTACTGCCTATCCCAGAACTGAAGGAGATACCAAACTTCAGTTCACATGTGCACGGACACTTTGGGTACCTGGCCCAGTCCCTTCATGGGCTGCCCGGAGTGCTGTGAATGCCAGCTGCCCGTAACTCCATGCTGCCCCAGAGAAATGCAGCAAGCAAAGCTACAGTGTTCAAAGTGAAAGTGCCACTTCCCTGGCCCCAGAGAGCCTCCAACAGCCTGGATGGCACCACCCCACTCCCTCTATGACCATCAAAACCCCAAGGTGCTGTTCCCACCCCACACTCCACTGTGCTCACACCAGACACGCCTGAAGCTGAGACCAGCCTTTGTGCAGCCCTGTCCTTTCCTGTCTGCTTTTCACGGCCCCCTGTCCTGAGGGCATTCTCTTAGTCTCACTAGCTCGGGAATTGCCACCTCAGGCCATGTTTCTAGGGACATAGACCCCCTGAATTCTGTCCGCAGCATCCCTGGTGACCTGTGAGAAGTGGGGTAGAGGAGCTGGAGAGATGGATCAACAGTTAAGAGCACTGGTGCTGGGAATTGATCTGAGTTCAATGCCCACATCCCCATGGCAGCTCACAACCATCTATTACTTCAGTCCTGGGGGATATGACACTCTCTTCTGACCTCTATGGGCAATGCACACACATGGTGCTCATCCATTCAGGCAAAACACCCATACACATAAAGTAACTATTTTAACTAAAAATATTTTGTTAAAAGAAATAGAGTGGAGGAACTGAGCCAGTCGGTCAGTGTGTGGCAGGAAGACTCCTCCTGCAGCCCCACACTGGAATGCTACAAGAACAAACGTCAAACGCTTGTCACGTCACATGTCACATGCTTGACATTAGAGAGATATTTGTAACAGTTGTTGGCCCAGTCTAACATGAATAGCTGAAGAACAATGCCCACCTCGGTAACAGCCCTGTTTACAAATATGCCCGGCCCTGTCCGGAAGGAGTTGCAAAGGGTTGATCACTCGTCATCAGAATGCCTGAGGAAGCCGGTGCTCCGCTCTCCTCATTTTACACAGAGGCTTGGACAGGTTAATTCGCCTGCTGAAGGGTAGAAAAGGAATGTGGAAGTCGGCACTTTAGTCCCTGACCCCAAATTCTGTACACTTGATGACTGCTTTGGAGTGTCAGATGTGACTGGAGCTGACCACCCTGACGGGAGAAGGCACCTCAGCCCTGTACATGACAGCAGAAGTAAGGTGTGCCCAGAAGGGGCATATAGAATGCAATGAAGAGTTCCAAGAAGAGTTCTGATAGAGTGTCAGTGGCGTTGGCTGCTGGGGGATGATGGGGGGTTCAGTCAAGCATAGGGCTGGAGACTTGAAGAAACAGAAGAAACAACCTGAGGAATGCATTGTGGAACTAGAGCCTATGCTCTACCCAGAGGCTTGCCTTCCACACATTAAGGAAGAGTGAAGTCTGATCTCCAAGTCACACAGGTCAGATTCCCAGACCCTAGGCCATACAGTTTGCCTCAGGAAAGAATCAGTCCCTGAACACACACACAGGCACCCATGTGCACACACAGCCCAGGAGCTTCCCAGGTCATGGTGTATACACACAGGCACCCGTGTGCATACGTGATCCAGGAGCTTCATGGTGACAGTCTAGGCTTTGGGGGGATCAGAAGCTTTGCCCCCCAGCTTTGGCTCTGTAAGTTCAGGTGAGGTGAGACACTCAGATGCCCAAAGAACTCAGGAAACAAGACAAATCATATTTTAACTTTTTTCCAATTACATGTGTGCCATGAGCACACACACACACACACACACACACACACACACACACACACACATATGTGCAGGCACACATGTGTAAGTTCCTATGTGAGGTTGATGTCAGGTTAATCGCTCTTCCATCTTACTCGGTGAGACAGGGTCTCTCAACCAAACCCAGAGTCTTGCTAGCTGGTTTGTTCTGGGTCCTATCTTCACATTGTGATGACCGAATTACAGGAGGGCTGCCACTCCCACTTGGCATTCATGTGGATTCTGAGGACTGGACCTCCAGCCCTCATGATTTTGCCGCAAATGTTTTTAACCACCGAGTCATCCACCCTCCCTAAATCACAGTTTAATACAATATTTTACAGTAAATTAATGCAAACATTAAAAAGCCAGATGAAAAAACTAGGAAGAATATTTTAAATAAAGACTAAATCGGTGTCTGCACCTCACCTTACCCCAGTTCAACCCCACCGGGACTCCAGAGCTTTCCCTTTGTGCCTCAGAGTGGGGGAGAGTTGGAGACTTTCTGAGAAATGAAATGAGTGGCAGGTGGGATGTGTTCCCCACATCGTGACGACAATTTAGACAGGTGGTGACGGTGGTGGTTAGGGCCACAAGACGTTCCTGACATCAGAATCGAGTGGTGGGTGAGTCCCCTGTTCAGTCTGACCTGGGTGTGTGTATGTGTGAGAAAAAGCCTTGTGTTTGGAGAGCCACTTCCCTGGGGACCTGAAACCTCAGGTGGGGGAAGAGAAATGCTAAGCCAACCTTCCTGCTGAGAAGATGCCCTTTTTTGGTCATATGAGCTGAAGGACTCCCCTTTTCTGCTGGCTTGGGAAGCTGGCAGCCAGCACAGGCGTAGAGATTGAGGTAGCCACACTGTTCCAGACTTGAGGACTACAGAGATGGCAGCAAGCACATGCTTGGGTCCACCCCGCAGCCTGGCTGGCTGACCCCTTATCAGCCTTTCTCCCTGCACACACTGGTCTGGACTCTGGCTCCCCTGCCCTTATGCCTCTACCCTGCCTGCATCTTCCTCCCCCATACTTGCCCTGCACGTGTGTCCAGAGAATTTTTCATCCCTATACCTGGGGGTCTCACCTTTCATGAGCTTCCAACCATGCTCTAAATGTAGCCCAGCCATGTCGAATATCTTTTGGAGTGGGAATAGCCACACCCAGCTCAAGGTAGCCTTCACTGGTGCGTCAGGCAACCCTAGAGGGAAGGACTGCTTCGGCCTAGAGGTTACAGGTGCCACCTGGCGTGTGGCCACTGCACAGGACCCAGCATCATCACCACCTGGAGCTCATCAGAAATGCAAATTCTCAAGCTACACCAGAAATCCCCTGATTCAGGATGGGAGTGACCTGTGCCCCACCAGCCGTCCATCGCCTCTGCTGCTGACTCCAGTTTGAAAAGCAAGCATCCACAGTGCTAAGGCCAGC